TCAAAACCATTGTAGTGATTTTAGAGTTCGCTAACCTATCTAAAATTAAAAGATTGTTTTTTTTTTCTTTTGTAATTATTAACGACATTGATTTGTTACAAAAAAGTGACGTTAAAACATTTTTTAATTATAATTTTATTTAATATTTTAATGACGATTTTATTAAAATAAACGTGATAAGTTTAACATTATATACTATTTTTGTAGTAGTGCATTCCGAGCATACATAAATTATATTGTGAAAGAGTTAACCTCAACAGCCCCTTAGGATGGAAGAAAACCCCAACCACACCGGGATTGTGGAGGAATTAAACTCAGCCACCCTTTTGGTAAGAAGAAATTTTTGATCATTTTGTACATATTAAAATTTAAAATGATTTTAATTAGCAGTTCAATTATTCAATAATTTTGTTACTATTTCAATTTAAGCAAATCGTATCAGACCATGTAGAGTGTCAGTTGATTAATTGTCATATACACAAATGCATCCCCATTTGAGGTTAATGAATTTTTAATAATCCAAATTAATACATTATATACTTTTTTGGATGACGTGCGAAAGAGGTGCACATAGGTTTTGTTGTTTCCCATCGAGGTATCAACTTAGAGAAATTTCAAATCATATCAGACAATAATATAACATATTTTTCAACCAACCACATATCACCACTTCATTTATTATTATTTTTGGAGTTACACAAAAACTATCAATGAAGCTTTACACACACTAGTATTTTCCCAATTTGGAGCTAAGCACACTATCAATGAAGCGGTTTGAGCCGGTGACCAACTATGGTCAAAGGCGAGATTTTTTTCAACACAACTGAAACTGACTATTGACATTTTTGATTTGAGCCTTGTGGCCGACTAGGTTCATAAAGTAAGATTTACCGGCTACACATTTTCAGATAATAACTACAAATTTTTTCCGTCATCCGAAAAAAAAAAAAAAAAAAAAAAAAAGAGTAAAGAGAGAAATGGTACCACAGTTGATGACAACAGGAGGAAATGAAGTGCAAGAGAGAATTGATGAATTGATGACTAAAACAAGAAGCAGCGAGGGGGTTTAAATAGGTTGGAGAAATGGACCACACAGTGTATAATAATGCCAGTAAAAATCAGTATAAAATCTACAATGAAGATATCCAGGTGTAAAAAGGGTCCAAGAAATTTAATGTCAAATCTGGTGTTTCACTGGGGTTGATAAATGAAAAGCATGCATTCAAGGCAAAACCAAATCCTTATTTGATATCATACGATTCCCTAGATTTGACTATTTTTGTGTTTCGGAATGTACATTTTAGTTTGTGATCTTATGACATAAATCGATTGCAGTATTTATTGAAAGATTTAATCGATCTTGAATTCCTTTTTATTATAAGAATAATATAATTTTGTTACCATGCATTTTTTAATTCAATCTGCCAATATGGTAAAACCACCTCTATTGTCACTTAGTAGATTTTAACATTTAGTGCCATACGAGCGTTCTTGATTTTATTAATTTCAAAAGTATAAAGAAATTAGCTGGCTAACATTCTAGAATATGGGTGTATCATAAACAAAATCATATATTACTAAAGTTTAAATTTAAAGTTAAATACTTTCTTAAAATGTCTATATTTATTATATTTTTTAATATTAAATTTAAAGATATCATTGGATTGACAATATCACGGTAAAAGATTTAATAGGCTGGCTTATGAAATAAGTTGGGAATGGAAAACATTATTGAGAATGGTGGTAATCTATCACATGCATAACCGTTTTGGAACGTAGTCTAATGGAGATTGGACAAGTAGCTAGCTAGTATCCAAGTAGCTCACCAAAACTATATTATGGTTTCTTACATAAAATATGTTAAAATCTCTTGCACCTCAAAGATAACTAAGGATATGTTCAACATTTTTCTAATGTTTCATTGTAAAATAAACACTAAATATAATGTTGCTAGCAAGTTCATAGAGATATAATATCAGGCTTAGCTTGATATGATTATGAAACTTCTGGTCCTATAGTAGTGCTCATAGTAAATGATATTTATTCATATAAAACATCTCTAAGACATTCTTAAGATAAGCTAATTGGTGCATAAAATTCCTTCAAAGAGACACTAGTACAAAGGTGCACATCAGCTACACTTGTACAAGTGTTTCCACTACACTTGTAGCGGTGTAGCATATGAGGGTGACTGAAAAAGTGTAGGCTTTCCTCGACACCCTGAGATGTACGCTATAGTGGTGATATAGGAATATAGATTGCACATTGTTAACAGAAAACATGTAACATGTAGAAACACTAATATTCTAATGACGGCCAGGCACATTATCAAGTATGAAAGGTTTAGAACTTATAGAATTTGATATTTCTTCCAAATATCAATGGCACTCAAAATGCTTATTACTATAATTTTGTCTAAGTACTACTACTAGTGTACTAGGTAACTAGCATATAAGACAATGAGTCTCGCACACTACGTAATATGATTTAATTTTGTCATGAGGTACTACTACTAGAGTACAATACAATGTTGGTCAATGGGGTGACAAAATAGTGCCTTTTAATTTATCTTAAGGCAAAACTATATTTAAAATTAGACACAGTGTACAAGAGATGTGCCCACTTTGAACATAATTCTCACGTTGCCGCCATTGAGATTTAAACATTGATTTCTTCTTCCAAATATTACCTACTGAACCAGTCAGCTAAGCTAGTGCGGGCATCTTACTCCAAAATATATTATAGCCATACCTGGTTTGCATATCCTGCAAGATACAAGCTAGCTTATTGTACTTTAGCTAGCTAGGTCTGATCTATCTCTTGCTACCTTTAAAGGATTAACAAGTCCGCTTCTCACGGATCACTGTTGTATGTAGTAGCTCATTTCTGCTAAGATACAACATTAGTTATATGTAGATATATCAAATACAATTTAATATTATGCATATGTATACATAACATGCAAGGCATTGAAACAACATAATGTCTTAAAAAATACTTAGCTCTGATCTCATTTATAGTCCGGAGTTAATGTGGATGTGAATAAGAGTTATTATCCAAGAATCCAAGATTGACCTCATAACAGCAAGACCTAGAATATTAACCATGCATGAAAAACCCATTCGTGTACAAACTCCAATAGATCAACTAATGCAGCACCCATAAGTTTGTGAGAATAATCGAAGATCCAAGTTGAATCCCAACCCTAAGGGTCCCACACCGGGCCCCACATCCCGATCCGTTCTTAGTTGGATTTGTTGACGACGATGCTGGGCCGGTGGAGGTGTCGACAACCACCGTACCATTCGTTTTCGGATCGCAAAGCCTCCAAATCTTCGATCTACCTTCTACTTTGCCGTTTACCGTGATGGATGATTGGTTTAGAAGAAAATAGCCGGAGGCTGCAGGACGTTGGCGCTGCCGCCGTTCGTGGAGGAAAACGCTAGCGCCGCTCATTGAGGAATAGGAAGCCGTCGCCACAACCACGATTTGAAGCGCCCGCCGCTGCTTGATGTAGAAAACGCCACAGCCGCCGCCGCCGCCGACTTCGACGATCTGAGACTTGCAGTACGTCACCATCACTCTGACTTCGTCGCCGGGCTCCAGAACCGGATCGGAGTCGCAGAAACCCCAGCCCGACCAATTCTCGCTATCCTATCGGTCATACGTTAAGACGGTCCTCTAGTCGTATATATAGTTTTCATCCATGAATATAAGAATAGAGAGATAGACAAGAGATACGGATCCGAGGAAAATCATCAATTATTTATTATTCATAATATGATAGATACGGAGTATATATTATGGGTGAGTACGGATTCGACAAATCTGCTCTGCTAAATTCTTAAAATCCGTTCGCATATGTTTGTATCTGACAAAAATACCCTTGAGAACTTTCTTGGTGCTATTGTGCTGAAAATGTGTTAATATATGACTTTTTGGAGTCGCTTGACACTTTGCGGTTAAACGGCATGAGGTGACTTTCTCAAGTGGAGGTCATGGGTTTGAGTTGAATAGATACATATTACATGTAATAGGGTCAATAATACTCAAGAAAAATGACTTTTTCGAGACAATTTTGGCATCATATGCTTGGATTTGACAAAAATATCCTTACTTTTAATGCTCCATTTTTTGTCAAAAATAAAAGTCAAAGGTATGTGTTTTGGTCAAGTTGAAAGTCTAGGACTATTAACTATAGACTTAATTTTTTTTTTGGATACAAAGAGAGGGACGAAGTCCAGTGAGAAACACTAAGAAGCATTATAGCCTATCTACCCCGCGTCGAGCTCTCGCCCTGACCCTATCTTCCCAGAGTACCTCCTCAATGCATGGCGGCTAATGCTCAAGAACCCGCGTCCCCATCTCGTGTGCCAAGGCAGCCGACACAAGGTTGTCAGCTACTTTGTTACACTATCGAACGACATGCCTGAATTCCACATCCTGAAACTTGACAATTTTCTTGACACAAAGTTGCACGATGTTGCTTCCCCGTCCCACTCTAAGGTTCTCGTTGATGCACTTGACCATGGATAAGGAGTCGCTTTCCACCATGAGGTTCCTCGCTCCGTATCTGGCAGCCATCCGGACCCCCAACAGGATCGCCCAAGCTTCCGCATCTTCAACCGAACACAATCCAATATTGTGCGTGAAGCCATATAGCTATCGCCCTAGGTGGTCGCGCAACACTCCTCCGCATCCCGTTGCAGCATTCATCCACGTTGACTTTCCAACACCCAGGCGGCGGCTTAGTCCATGCAGTCGGCATCGCATCGGCCCTAGCCACCACCCTCAGCGTCCACTTTTTCCGGAAAGGCTCTTTGATATCGTTGTGTTGGTTCAAGATCCATGCCCTATTCTGCTCAAGGTTCAACCGTTTCCCTTCAAATATCTTCATGTTCCGCCATCTCTAGCACCACCATAGGCCAACCCCGAACTTCTCTGCCTAGCATTCTCCGATGCCTAGTTTGGCATCTGCGACAAGATTAGCGGATAACCAATCATTCCAATCCAACGCCTAAAGCATTTGCGTTACCCCTCGAGGCAGAAACAACTCCTAGAAATATGCAACCTCCCCGCATGCTCGAAAGATATGATCCAACGTCCCTGGCGTACCTGCACAAGACAAACACCATGAGTCTGTTGTAAATCCCCGCTTGGCACGTTCACAATTAGACATTAACTTCCATTACTTCACTAGCCACAAAAAGTGGTTTATTTTGTTTAGGACTCTAAGCTTCCATACTTTTTGCCAGTCCTTGTCCACATCCGCTGCACCCTCCATACGCAAAGCATTGTAGGCCGATCGTATGGAAAACCTGCCATCTAATTCCATCCCCCAGCCCCACTAGTCTTCCACCTCCTCTTCGTTTAACAACACATGCGCGTAGAGTTTGATTCTCCATTCATCGCTCAACATATTCTAAAGTTGTTCCCACTTCCATCCTCTCCCTCATTCCCAGTAATCCACCACACTTGCATACAGCTCTGGTAAGCTCAGCGGTTTCTGCATATAATCAAACAATCACCGCCCATGTATCCAACTATCCATCTAAAACCTTGTCTCCCTTCCACTTCGAACAATCCTTGTTAGCCCACTCTCCAGAAGATGGTTTGCACTACACACTCCTTTCTACGTGCCTGAGGCACGTCGCGTTATGCCCACAGCCCGCCTGCCATCTTCGTTTCCATATTTGCTCGTTAGAACTTGCGCCCATAGGCTATATTTTTTCCGTACGCAAACGACATCCCACCCCGTACGAAGATTTGGATGACAAGGCACGTTCAACCATCTAATTGTACCTGTCTAAAGAGGTTCTACGTGAGGTGGTAAGTGAGAAGACTACGTTAGATTTATGGTCCGAGCTGGAGTCGCTTTATATGGCCAAATCTCTGGCGAACACGCTGCGTCTGAATGAGCGTTTGTACACAGTCCGTATGACGGAAGGTACTTCTATTAAATCTCACTTGGATGAATTTAATTCTATTTTATTGGACTTGGAGAATATTGATGTCGTAGTTGAAGATGAGGATCGTGCTGTTTTATTGCTTGTCTCTCTCACTAAATCATACAAGCATTTCAAAGAAATTATGTTGTATGGTAATAGTAGTGATACCCTTACTTTTGACAATGTTAAGTCAAACCTGTTGTCTAAAAAAAAGTTTAACTTTGATATTAAGTCTGAGGACAAAGGTGAAGGCTTGACTGTAAGGGGTCGGTCGTTCACTTCAAATAGAGAGTAGCAATAAAAAATCTAGATCCAAGTCCAAAGGACGTAAGTCCAACAAATCCTGTAAGTACTGCAAGAAGCAAGGTCATGATGTCACTGAATGCTTCAACCTGAAAAACAAGCAAGAGAGAGAAAAGAAGTCCGTTGAAGCTAGTGTTGTTGAAAGTGATTCAGAAGGTGATGTCATGCTATCTGTTAGCTCCGGTGACAAACGGAGCAAAACTAAGTGGATTCTGGACTCTGGTTGTACATTCCACATGTGTCCTCACAAAGACTGGTTCGTCTCTCTAGAACTGGTTGATGGTGGAGTTGTCTTTATGGGTAATGATACCCAATGCAAGGTTAGTGGAATTGGAAGTGTGCAGATTAAAACTCATGATAATGTTGTCAAGATTCTTACCAACGTTCGGTATATTCCTAATTTGAAACGCAATCTGATATCCTTGGGCACATTGGAGTCTCTGGGGTGTAAGTACATAGCTGAAGGTGGAGTTTTGAAGGTTATAAAAGGCTCTCTTGTTCTCATAAAAGCTTCTCATTCCGGAAGCTTGTACGTGTTGCATGGCAGTACTGTGACAGGTTCAGTAGCGGTATCCTCATCGATGTCTGATGCGGATCTCACTCAACAATGGCATATGCGTCTGGGGCATATGAGTGAGAAAGGCATGCATCTCCTGAGCAAGAAAGGTCTCCTTGGTGATTCAGGTACGGGTAAATTACAATTTTGTGAGCATTATGTTTTTGGAAAACAAAAGGGGGTAAGTTTCTCTACTGCTACACACCATACCAAAGATATATTGGAATACATACATTCCGATTTATGGAGACCGACTAAATATCAGTCTATTGGAGGTTGTAGATATTTTATGTCTATTATTGATGACTTCTCTCGTAAAGTCTGGGTCTATTTCTTGAAACATAAAAATCAGGCATTTTCTATTTTCAAAAAGTGGAAAATACTTGTTGAGACTCAGACAGAGAAAAAAGTCAAGAAGCTTAGGACAGACAATGGCTTGGAGTTCTGTGAGTCAAATTTCAATGACTTCTGTGTGGCAAATGGAATCGCCAGGCATAAGACCTTTCCTGGTAAACCCCAGCAAAATGGTGTTGCCGAGCGTTTGAACAGGACTCTACTGGAAAGAGCTCGTTGTATGCTCTCTAATGTTGGGTTATCGAAATTGCACTATTACAAATGTAAAAGTACCTATTGTATTATTATTATTATTATTATTATTATTATTATTATTATTATTATTATTATTATTAGTATTATTATTAATGTAAACCTGTTTTTTTTTTTTGTGATATGTAAACCATTTTTATAAATTTGATATTTACTCCGTATATTTTAGAAAATAAATCATATAATATTCCAATATATAATGTCTATATATATGATTATTACCATTAAAGAAGATAATAAAATATATGGTGGATGTATGTGCATGACAACAATAATTGAAAAAGAAAAAAACAGACATAAATAAGATATGTCACTGGGTGGTAATTATGAAACATTGGTCGGGAACACAGTTAATAAGAAGTTCATGTATTACGAGGTAGTGGTGTGGCGTGCACCCTTGAAAGCAAAAGTGCTGGCTAGATGAGTTGCATGTGGTGATGAATTGATGGGGTGTTGAGTTCTAGTCGAGCCGCAGTTTGCACTGCTTGAATAGATAAGCCACGAGAATCTCTGGATTTCAATACCGAATATAATTAATGTAGAAAAGGAATTACCTATTCTATTGGGATCAGATATAGGAAGAAGCTTTACTGAAGTTCTATATATATCAGAGTGTTTAAAATAAATTATTCAAATAAATTATGCGAATAATCATTTCTTCAAAGCCCTACCAATTATTAGCCAATAGTTTGCACAACTATGGGATTCTGTTAAACTGGACAACAGTTTTATACCTTGCCATCATCAAATCTATATGGTTATTTTTGTTTTCCTGATACAAAATCCTTAAAAAAGTAATTCCAAACGTACCTATTTGTCGAGTACGTTACATCGAAGGACGCAATGTCACCAAGCACCGTGTGGTTGCGACGAGCTACCGGATCAGCCCAGAACACACATCGTAATTGGTCATTCTCATCAATGTCATGCTTATAATAAAACGCGGCACACTTGTCATTTTTCCTTGACAACTTATCAAGAGAATATTGTGCATCACACCCATCAATATATGCATGGAAGTCGCGTTTTGAATTCTGGAAATCAACACTAGTTGCCCCAACATTTTCATAACCACTCACAAACTCTTTTAAAATCCTAACACCCTGACTTGTCCCCACGTTTGCCTTTGCGCAATTAGCCATGAACGCTTGATGTCCAAAATCAAGTTTGCGGTTCACTTTCATGAACTGCCTAGACATAGGAGTACACAACACATGAGTGTGCCTCTCCTCAAATGAAAACACCCAATACCCCCTGGTCTGGTCATTTTTAAAAACGATCCTAGCCTTACACCCCACCGTATTTGAAACCCTACGACGCTTCACAGGCACATGGCGCTTATATCCCTTATGATTACAAAGAAAATGTCTCAAAACCACCTCGCCCCCCCCCCCCCCCCCCCATCCTTTTTCACAGAACCATGCCTAACATCAAACCCCACAAGAGCAACATACTTTATATAGAATTCCTCACCCTCCGTTAGAGTTTTAAAAGTCTGGCCTATGACTGGCTTACTCCCATCATCACATTGTGGCCACCAATACTTTGATGACCCATACACTATTCAACGGTACAATACTCCTAATAGACTCAAGCCCATGGATTAATCAATCAGGAGTAGCTAAACACAAACCCTTCTTAGACTTAACCGATGATGTACCAGAGAATTCAAACACACTTAGAGCATACAAGCACATAAAGAATTAAAACATAAAACACATATATTTCACATAGGGTAACCGCTTAGCATTTATCACAGAGTCAAAGCAAGACATGCAAAAACTTATCAAGTAACTACAAATTACTAGAAGAGAGAGCAGATATCACACCACATTTATTCGCTAGCAGATAGCACACCACATTTATTCACTGGCACTCATTGTAAGTTCACAAAAAACAACACTCCCCCTTACTACGTGCACTCCCCCTTTTTGGCAAGCTAATGGACAAAGAGCACCATCCGGACTGGTAGGAGGAAGAGGATGTCTCCAAGGCTTCATCATCACCAGCAGGAGCAGTATGAGTGACATTGTAACACCCCTTAAAAACAAGCAATTTAAAAGCCTTAAACATGCAGATAACTGAGCTAAACAACAAACACAGCGAAAGTCTAAAAGATAGATAGATAAACATAAACCGAAACACGGGGTGTTATGCCACGTTCACCAAAAGAATGAACGCTACGGCAACATCTGCAATGTATACATCTAAACCCATTGTCTTTGAGTTCTATATCTAAGCTGGCACACAGGCCACAAAACAAAAGGGAGAAGCTATACTAGTAAGCACTAGACTGCGCACTCGTCTAGACATCACCTGAAAAAACACAATAAAACATGGGACGACGCCTGGTCAGCGAATAATGCTGAAACCCACCAATACATGTGCAATATCATACATAGATAAGAAATACATTTGTAAAATCATTTGCGAAACGGAATACATATATATAAGTGCAAAACAAGGAGTAATAGTCAACACAAGACTCACCACTCTCAACAACAACACGGGAACACATCCCAAGACCACAAAGGATAACAACAACTCAAAACAATAAAGACACGACCAACGGCAACACATGCCTAGGCAACATATGCCTTTGTGACTACACACGTCACAAGAAGAGAACTCACAACAACGGCTACACAAGCCCTCGTGACGTCACCCATCACGAGTTGATATGCCTTCCTTATGCCCGGTTCCAACCTTATGGCTACCTCCAACCTTATATCTAGTTCCAACCTTTACCTCCAGGACCCCTGTACGCCAAGTCCAACCTTATTCCTCCGGGAACCGTCGTTCCCCCTCCAACAGTCCCTCCAACAAAACCACCAATTTCATAGTACACGAGGGTACCGTACACACACACGGCAACACATGCCTCCCAAGAAATACGTGAACCTTACACAAAGGTCACAACTCCATAATCGCGTCACGGCCACCACGAGGACCGCTGCAATACCTTGGTGACTAGTGTCTCATACCACTAATCGTGTAATCCAGGTAAAGCCACACACACATCACACCACAACAGGAATCAATCAACGGATCACAACGAAGATATGAAACCATACTAAATCAAGGAATGGGTCACAGCCCAACAACAACAACGATGAATAACACAAGTTATCATCCACCAATAAGAAGGTACAAACAACACACATTCTAGCATTTAAACACCAAACTAGCATGCTTATCAAACGGGTAAACCAAACGTAGTTCCGAAGAACACACAAGACTCATCATGGTTCAATGAAACACAATGTTGAACACTTAGCACGATTCAAGACACCAAAACCTACATGGAATCCTACCATATAGTTCTAGACATACATAACATCAAGAAGACACTCAAATAGTTCCACAAAAGAACATCGCGAAGTCAAAAGACCAAATACCGAGTCAAAAGAATCACGGGGAACAAATCCCAATCAAACACCACAGTTTTCCCCGCGGGTGGACCCATGGGTGGTGCCTCACCCCCCCCCCCCCCCCCCCCGTGGTTCCGCCCGCGGGAACATCTCCCACGAGGCCTTGTACCTGCGAGTGGGGCGACGGGTGGTGCCCCGCCCGCCGTTCCGCCCGCGGGTACACGTCCTGTACCAAAAACAATCCCTTCGGGGATTTCCAACTCCAAGCTCAAATTCAAGTCCAAAACATGCCAAATCTCACCAAATACAACAAAATGACTTGAACCAAAGGAAATGCCAAGCTATGGCACAAATGAACCCTAAACACAAGCTCTAGATATGCATTTTCACAAGATAATGTATAAACACTCACATTTCATAGCAAAACACATGTAGAATCCAAGAAATATTCACATAGGTAAGCAAAATAGATTTTGTAGAGCATGGGTTACCTCATTCGCTTATCCAACCAATTCAAAACAACGCCAACTTACGCTAGGCTCAACTCATAAGCCAAACAGGAACGTGTGAATCAAACCGATCCTCAACTATTAACAAACGTACTAATTAAAACTAATTAGGCTTATAAGGAGAATTGAACCCTAAACCTTTCTTTAATTACCCACAAGCCCAACCAACTAAGCTAAGCATAGTATTATTAAATTGACCCCAACATTATAAGCTAATAACCAAGCCTAGGAGGTGGAACTATTAATTAACACTAATAAACAAGGCTTACTAAAAATGCTAAGGGTAGGACTTGTACCCCAGCTACACACTAAACAAATCACACACCTTACCACTAAGCCAAACATCCATTTATTGACTAACCTAACAACAAACTAATCTAATACGAATCTAAACACCATCAACCAAAGGAACCAGCAGCTTACCATCTTCTTCTTCGTTCTGCATGCTCACCATCCCGCGGGTGGAACACGGGTACACCCTCCACCCGCACCTGCTCTGCTTCACCGGAGTCTCGTAGCACGCCGGAAGACCTCCCACGCCGCCGAACAGCTCTGCTTTGCCGGAAACAGAGAACCCCGATCATCCATCATCAACACCGCCGACGCACAGCTTGCCGGAGATGGGAGAGAGAAACATCGCAACGCAAAACTGCCTCCACCGTCTCAAGATTCCGACTTCCACCGCTGCTTTGCTTCTTCACCGGAAATAGAGGAAAAGGCTGGAGCTTCGCCGTTCGCCGGAGGAACACTGCCCGCCGGAGGTGCTTACTGGAACTCGCGATGCAGCTTCTCACGCTCGTTGGTCGACACTCTAACTTCCACCAACACTTGTTGGCCGAGAGAAAGGAACGGGAAGGGGGGGTTTGGTTGCCGGAGATAAAGAACGAGAGAGAGATGGGCGATCGCCGGACTGCTCGGTCTGCCGACAACAACCGCCGCTGCTCCGCGCCGCTTCGTGTCTTGCCGTCGACCACCATAGAGGAAAAAGGGAATGGATGAAGATGGATACTCAGCCGTAAGGTAGAAGAAGGACTTAAGAGATGGAATGGCGTTTGGCTACTGTCTGAATGGGAAACATCATAAACATATTAATCCCATACGCATAGGTTCCACATATACTAGCGTAGGGGGATAGTTATGCTGTGCATCCGTATGCACCATGCACGGTGTATACAGATGCCAAAATGACGTCGTTTTATTAAAAAACGCGCGTCTTCCCTTTAGTTCATATGTTGTTGCTGGGAATCGAACCTGATTTTTTTTTAAGAGGAGACGCGCGTTTTATTAAAAAGACGTCGTTTTTGCATCCGTATACACCATGCATGGTGCATACGGATGCACAACATAATTTGCCAGCGTGGGGTTACCAAAATGGATGGGCTAAATTTAGAAGGTTGGATTGGGCTAAATAAGGAAGGTTGGATTCATCACAAGGCCATGGTTAGAAGGTAAACATATTATTTAGGCTTGGATATGGTTGGACTCAAGATTACAACATACATACATATATATATATATATATATATATATATATATATATATATATATATATATACTCATGGGTTTGGCTACTTGGATTCAAGGCCTATATAATTATAATTATATTTTTGAGCATTAAAATCACTTTGGGCTTAGTGTGCTTGGGTACAAAAACATTGGTTCACAATACTAGATAGACCCGAGCCCGTTTTAAAATAAATAGCTATATAAATATTTTTATTAAAATATTTAATTATCGGGACTATAATTTATTTTTAGGAAAATACGGGGTGTTACAGACATTCTCAAGGGATTCAATGTGACGATTGGGGCTGAGCAGCTGAGCAGCTGAGCCTCGGCAGTAGAGATGGAAGATTGAAGGGAAAGAGAGACATCCTTCATGGTAGCAATATGAGAGGTGAGAAAGGTGACCTGCTGTCTAAGCACAGCCAGTGTCGAAGCAAAGCTAGTAGCAGAAGCAGTCGATGTAGATTCTACGCCTGTAGTTGGTGGATCAGTTGGAACAGGAGCAGGTGGAATCGATGAGAGAGTGGCCCGATCATCAAAATGCGATCATTGGAAGATGCGAGAGTCCATAGATGTCTTGTGAGTGATGTGGCAGAGTTCTTCGTTTGAATAGAGTTGTAGACCTTGTTGTTGTAAAATCCCGATGATCAGACATGGAAACGGGAGATGAATCTTGGCTTCCTTCTTTTTAGCAAAGCTCATAATATGATGATAAATAAGATGACAACGATCAATGGGCAATTGATGCCTGACTTTGTATAACAGAGAAGCCATCTTCTTAGTGACGGTATGCACAGAGACATTCGGAATCCA